ATCTTGAAAAATGGTAGGCACTTATCTGCTGACTTCGATATGAACCGATGAAGAGCTGCTACCCTTCCAGTCAACCTCTATATGTCCTTTATTGACTTTGGTGGTTCCATCTCGGCAATTGCTCTGATCTTCTCTGGGTTGACCTCAATTCCTCTCCGGGAAACCATAAAACCCAAGAATTTTCCAGATTCCACACCAAAGATGCACTTGGCTGGGTTTAACCTCATTCTATTCTGTCTGAGATTGTTGAATGTCTCCTCAAGATCGGTTAAGTGATCGTCGGCTTTCAAACTCTTCACCACTATATCGTCAACATAAACTTCCAGATTCCGTCCTATCTGAGCTCGGAACACGATGGTAACCATCTTCTGGTAAGTGGCACCTGCATTCTTCAAACCGAAGGGCATCATTACATAGCAATAGATCTCATCGCCAGCATAGAACGAGGTTTTTTCTTCATCCTCAGGAGCCATTGGGACCTGGTGGTAGCCTAAGTATGCATCCAAGAGACTTAATCTCTAATTTCCCGAAGCTGCCTCAACTAGTTTATCAATGTTTGGCATTGGATAACAATCCTTTGGACATGCATCGTTAAGGTTAGTGTAATCGATGCACATCCGCCATTTACCATTTGCTTTCTTCACCAACACCGGATTGGCGACCCACTCACAGTAATCTACCCTCCTGACAAAGCCGGCTTGTAAGAGTTTCTCGACTTCTTCTTTAATAACCTTTAGCCTCTCCCCCCCGAAGAGACGTCGCTTCTGGACTACTGGTTTCTTGAGGGGATTGGTGCTGAGTTTATGTTGAAAAACTGAAATGGGGATTCCCGGCATATCTGCTGAAGTCCATGCAAAAATATCGTTATTGGCCCGAAGAAAAGCTATTAACTCTGCTCTTTCCTCCGAGTTCAATTTAGTCCCAATTTGCGTTTTTCTGCTCGGATCTCTGTCATCAATCTGTACCTCCTCCACATCTTCAACCGGAGCAGCTCTGGTTTCATCTTCAGGTCGGTTATCTACTATTTCGACACCCATAACTTGCCGATCATCAGGTATCTGTTTGGGATTAATCTCGGGTGTCTGAGTCTTGCCCTTCTGAGGTTGTGTTATCGAGGTGATATAGCAATGCCGGGCTACCTCCTGGTTGCCTCGCAGTGTTGCTATTCCCATAGGAGTTGGGAATTTCATGCATAGATGAGACTGGGAAACCACGGCTCGGATCTCAGTTAGTGTAGGTCGGCCAATAACAACGTTGAAAGAAGACGCCATCTTGACCACTAGAAACCTCACTGTAGGGGTCACATAACTTCGGCCACTCACAAATGCAACATTCATGGTGAGTACTCCCTCGACTGGAACTGGTTGGTTGTTGAACCCATAGATGGGACCATCATACCTCTGAAACAAGGCTGGATCTATCCCAAGACTCTCGAAACAATGGAAGTACATGATGTCTGGTGCACTTCCGGTGTCAACAAGGACACGTTGCACTTCACAATTGTTGATCATGACGGAAGTAACTAGAGGATCATTGTGAGGTGTGACAACTGTTTCAAGATCAGCAGATGTGAAAGTGATGGGTTGATTCTTCCACTCAGCATCGTCAAATTTTCGTTTCTGAGTCCGGTTCTGGTGCTTAACCTCCCTGACATACAACTTTCTCTGTTTAGAGCTCAGTCCACCTGCTTCCAGACCACCCGTAATCATGTGTATGACTCTAGCTGGTGGTGGGAGTGGTGGTGGGGCCTGCTGATATCCCACACCTTGCCTGTTTGGGGGATTGCGGACTCCTGGATGCTGTGTCCCTTGTTCCCTGACAAATCGTGGCTATTCAACTCTCTGGATGTACTCATTTGGCATTCCTTTCTGCGCCAGGCTTTCCAATTCGGACCTCAGACTATTGCATTGCTCTGTTGTATGACCGTGATCTTGATGAAAATCACAATACCGTGTATGGTCTCTGGTAGCAGCAGCAGTTCTCATTAGACCCGGAAGTCGTAAGTCCATTTTATTCTTAATCTGCATGAAGATTTGTGACCTCGGTAAATTAAAAGGAGTTCAATTAACTAGAGGTTTACCTGCAGGTTGCTGCGGAGGTGCTGAGTTCGGCCTTCCGAATCGCGGGGTGGAAGTCGACATCGGACCTCGGTTCTGTGGTGTCTTCATCCGTTTCCTGTTCGGGTTCTCATCTCTCCAGTCCGGGTGTTGATTCTTAACAGGGGTGATGTTCTGCGACAGGGCATATTCCTCAGCAGTTATGAATTTCAATGATCTATCATTTACCTCACTGAAGGTGGTGGCGGGATGTTTGAGCAGACTTTCTCTGAATCTTTCATGGCCGAGACCTGAGATCACAGTTGTAATGCCCACTGCTTGATCGAAAGAGTTAACCTCTAGCACTGCATCATTGAACCTGCTCATAAAATTCTTCAGAGATTCTCCATCCCTCTGCTTGACTCACATCAGCTCGGAAGTGGTTTTCCTTATCAACCTTTTACTGGAAAACTTAGTGGCAAAAGCGGATGATAGTTCTGTGTACGAGTTGATTGATCTCGGAGGCAGGCTGTAATACCAGGTTCGAGCGTTACCTCGGAGAGTAGAGGGAAAGATTTTTCACATCAACGCATCAGAGGCGTTCTGGGCCTGCATGCAAGAGTAGAAAGCATGTAGATGATCATCGGGGTCCTTCGTCCCATCGTAGGTTTCAAGCTGTGGTATTCTGAAACCCGCTGGATAGGGTTCCAGTATAATATTGGTGTTGAGAGGGTGAGGTACGGAGTCAGCAGCGGGGTGTGGAGGTGGAATACCTCGCTGTTCGACCACTAGCTTTTCTAAGCTATCTAAACGCTGATTGACCTCATCACGAGGGGGTTGCATGACTGGTGCGATGTGAGATTGGCCCTGAGATTCACTAACAGCGGGAGCACCGTGAACTGGTTCAGGATTTTGTGGTGGGGCTGGGGATTGTGGTGGGGTAGCATTAAGTAGATTGATGAGTGGATCACCAGGATTGTTCCGGGCTAACAACTGAGCCAGTACTTGCTGAAAGACACCAAACTGCTGTTGCATGGCAGCGAGCTGAGTTGCAATTACGTCTTGGTTAACAGTAGAGGCTGAGTGACTAACCGAATTATGTGGTTGATGTTCGTCTTCTCCTTCTGCATGATCAACAGGAGGGAATGTATTTGGGATTGGGGGTGGAGGATGAGGTGGAAGGTTGCTGGGGACTTGACCTTGTCCAAGAGGCTGAGATGAGTTTCCGCCTCGGGCTGACCTAGTTTTAACCATGATAAGAGCAACAAAGGAACCTTTTGTTCAGTTTCCCACAGACGGCGCCAAAGTGTAACTACACCAAACCGAAAGTCCTTCAGTCCGTATCTGCACTCTGGATTGACCTGCAAAGCCCCGAGGTGGATCCTCGGGGTAGACACTCCGATGCTTAAGTCAGCAATAATCGGGGTTACCTTTTAAGCGGAGAAACAAGGAGCTTAGGGTTGGTTTCAATTACCTTGTGGCGTGGCCCTTAAGGGTATTTATACGTTCCGATGAAGAATCCACGCGGCATGCCAATCAAGATGCCAAAATATCCGGGATCTGATATGTATCTCCAGGCAGTTACTTCGGGACCGGAAGATTGAGCCAAGCAAGATATTCGGGATTTGATATGTATCTCCAAGCAGTTATTTTGGGACCGGGAGATTGAGATATACTTAGATACCAGGGCGTCCATCGTAACTTGCTGTGCACCGTACGTCCGAGGTTAAGCATCTCGAACCTGCCCTTACACCTTAGTCTCAAAATCTTATTCATCTTATATTGCATAATCGATTAGGTCAACTTACCTAAGAATACTACATATTTGGTGCATCGGATGTCGATGGGTTCAATCAAGCGTTGATCTCCTTGTTGGGGGCTCTCTTCGCAAGTATGCGGCGGATAACGTGATGGGTCCGGGTTTCTTTCTGAGAATTTACGCACTCATGCAATGCACTCCCGATCTGTCCCAGCAAAATTGCAGTGATTGTCTGACAACGGCAACCTCTAAGATCTCTTCTGACTGCTATGGGAAGATCGGATGCAGAGTTCTGCAACCTAGCTGTAATTTGAGATACTAGACTGACCTATTTTTTGCAGCCGTAGATGACATTCCCCAGCCATCGCCGCCGCCATCCTCACCTCCGCCAACAGAAGGTACCCTAAACCCACACTTTTCCTTCCTCCTCAACAGTTAATCATGCCTGTCTCAATTTGCTTGCATCTTCGTTTCTTCTTTTTCCCGATGAGCTCACTGCCTTTCAATTTCTCAACATTCTGTTGCGAAATTTTATTACTGCCTATCTTATCTATTGGCACAATGCCCTTGAAATCTCTTTTTCCACTGAAATAGAAATTGCTTTTTTTTTTTAAAACATCTTCTAGGTTTTTGATTAATTACTTCAGTGAAACAGTGTATTCTACATGGATTAATTATGAGATGAAAAAATTTTCCAGTTGATTTACCCTACCTAAATATATCATATTTATTTCTCTATTTGACACTGACCCATGCTGTAAATTGTCATTTTTTCAGAGTTTGTAGTGTACTCGTAGGAATTACTTGAGATATCTATAGATTTTAGAGGGTTTGTTTCACTATCTAATTGAGGCTACTGATGCAGTTTAGTTCATGTTGTGTATTTTTATCAAGTTGTTTCATTCATCAAAATCATCAAAATAGAAAATATTTAATAAATTTTGAATATTTGGATTCTAGACTAAAACTATCAAATAATTTTCAAAAATTTTGATTTGCAAGTTTTATCCCTATTGGATGCTCTATTTGCTTTAGATTTTATCAATATTGATTAGTTAGAAATTTAGTTTACACTTGAGGAGCCCTTCAAACCTTGTGATTAGTTGTTAAACAATAGCAGAACAGAGGTCTTGGCTTTTGAGGTATGAAATAATCTAATTATTAGAATTATTTTTTTAATTGAAAGGGGATTCAAAATTGAATTCTCTTTTAACTGAGCTGCTTTAATGATTTTCTTTTATTTTGTTGTAGAATTGTAAAAAATGTCATCATCTAGACAAAATTCAACTGCTACATCTTCTTAACCTTGAAGAGCTAAAACAAATGCAGCATGTGAGCATTGTGTTGAAGTTATAGAAGGCACAGAAAAAAATCAATTAAATGTTTGCATTGCCAAAAGGCATTTAGAGGAGTAGTCATTAATAGAATCAAACAACATCTTATTGGAAAGGGAGGAGATGTCAAAAAGTATGATAAGGTGGTGGATGCAACAGCGTTTGAAAGAAATTGAAGAAAGTAGGAAGCAAGCACAAAATCTATGAGAAGATAATGCATTTGGACATTTTGATGATGATGCACCAGACTTGCAAGAGATCCCAAATTCTTTTTCAGCTCCACAATCTCAGTTTAAAGGAAAAGAGTTAGAAATTTCAACAAATAGGGACAGAAAAGGGAAGGCAAGTGGGATACAAAATTATTTTGCCCCAAGAATCACTCTTGGTGCTCAGCCATCAATTAGAAGTGCCTTGGCTATGAAAAAGGGAAGGATGGATAGAAATTATACATGTTGGGCCAACACATTTTGAAACAATATTCATTGCATTGAAAAGCATTCATCAGCATAGGCATGACTTTTAAGCATTGGTGACTAGCTTGGAATTTAAAGAGTTTAGATACTACAAAGATCATAAGGCAAATGATGTTGTGGCTATTGTTCTAGATAAAAAAAAAAAAAATTTTGGAATAATTGTGAGCTTGGGACCACTTATTTGCTTGCTTAGAATTGTGGATGGTGGTGAGAGGCCTTCACTTGGATATATCTATGATGGCATATATAGACCTAGAAAGGCCATTAAGACTATATTGATGAATATGGAGACTTTGCACAAGCCTTATACAAGAATTATCAAGGAAAGGTGAGATAAGCAACTTCGTCACAATCTTCATGCTACTGCCTATTACTTAAATCTTGCTTTTTTCTATGATAAAGAGAATTTTTCAACCCAAAAAGAAGTCATGAAAGGTTTTATAGATGTTATGGATGCAAAAGTGCTATTTCAGATGTCTAAATTTTTGAATAAGCATGAGTTGTATGACAAAAAAAAGAGGAAAGCTTTGGTCATGAAAGTGGTCCTAAATCCTCAAAAACTATGAAACTTGATAAGATTTCAACTGTTTTTTTTTTTTTTAAGATTATAACACTTTTATTTAATTATTCATGATATTCAACATTTTAACCCTTGTACACTTTTTTTTCTTTTTGTCTTCTTCATAGATGAGTGGTAAAAATGTTTTGGATATAGTGCTTCAAATCTTAAAAAATTAGCAATACAACTCGAGTCAAACATCATCTTCTTCAAGGTGTAAAAGAAATTGGAGTGTTTTTGAAAGAATGCACACCAAGAAGAGGAATAGATTGGAGTACCAAAGGTTGAATGATCCTGTTTATGTGCATTATAATTTGCATTTGAAACATCAGTACTTTATCTAATCTATATAATAATTGTACTATATTCATAAAGTTT